TTTTTTCTACATCGAGGGACATATTGTTGAAGATATCGACGTAGACAGGGATGAACTGCAATGGAGATGCGAATTAGTGAATAATTGCTTTGCGTTTATGTTCGACGAAATTAGATACGAACTCGATGGCGTTGAAATTGATAGAAACAGAAATGTCGGAATCACCAGCACGATAAAAAGTTACGCATCATTGACAACCGAAAGGAGCAAAAGACTGCAGAATGCCGGATGGAATGTTCATTCAGCCAACAATGCGATACGTCTAACCGATAATTTGCGCAATTTCAATTTCTGCGAACTTCTGAATAAGTTTTTAGGTTTCTGCGAAAATTACAAACGCATAGTGATAAACGCACGTCACGAATTAGTTTCGATACGTGCCCGCAACGATGTTGGTAGTATTATAGCTCAACCAACATATAGAAATTCTAAACTTACATTATTAAAAGTACAATGGCGCATGCCGCATGTGGTATTGAACGATCTGAACAAATTATCACTTTTGCGCACTTTGGAGAGCGGTCGGTATCTAAGTATGACCTTTCGCTCATGGGATCTGTATGAATTTCCTTTGTTGCAAACCTCAACGAAACATTCGTGGGCGGTGAAAGCGGCGACGCAATTGAAAAAACCGCGATACGTGATTTTCGCTGTTCAAACAGGCAGAACAGACGTCCCGACGGCGGATGTTTTCAAATTCGACGATTGCAAAGTGAGTAATGTAAAATTATATAATGTCTAGTAAAAAGTAATCCATTATTTTTGTATCAAATTGGAGGCTTTATTTAACATAGTTACAATGATCCGATTTAAGTCAAATATGCACCATTTTGTTCGATAACTTGTTGCCATTTCGAAGGTAATTTCATTATGCCTCTCTCATGGAAACCCTCGTCCCCATTGGCAAAAAACTGGGAAAGTCGATTTTCACAAGCTTCTCTTGAGGCGAATTTTTAACCAGCAAAAAAATTCGCCATAGACAGGAACAGGTGGTAATCAATTGGTGCCAGGTCCGGACTATAAGGTGGATGCAAAAGAACCTCCCAACC